TTGTGAGACCGACACCACCCCTTGTCCCAGCCCGCATTCCTACAACCAACCCACTTCTGCAGCACTGGGGCCGCCCCCCCCCACCCCCCGCCTCCGGCCCGAGCCTAGCCCACCTCGGATGCCGTCCCGCTGGCCGAAAGCAACCAACACACGCTCATCGTGTAGCTTGAGCAGCAGATCCAGCGGGTAACTGAAAGTTTTCTCAGCCTCAGCCCGTGGCGCGTAGCTGTCCAACTGGTAAATCAAGCCGCCAGCTTTGTTCACCACATACACACTAAAAATCGCCATCACTGCCGCTGCCGCTCGGAAACTGTCATTCGGCCGCTACCCGAAGGCCCCTCCCCGGAAGCGCATCACAGCACTTGCCCCCGGCCCCACCCCAGCCTCCTGCTGCTCCTCCTCCTCCCAGGCCCTGCGTGCCGCCACCTGCGGCACCTGCGGCGCCTGCGCATTGGGAGCGACACGCTCGGGCATAAGTAGTGCCGGAAGGTTAGCTGCCGAGACCTGGTGGATTGTTTTCCGTTTATCAGTGCCGGAAAACAGTACTACAGTACTGCGTCACAACTAGCCCGGACTCCGACAACCTGGCGCGGTATTTAGGCGGTGCGGCTTGGGAACTGGAATTCACTTCCTGTCTTCCTCTTGAGGCTAGAGGGCGAGCGCTTCGCCGTGGGACTTCCTCCGCCTGGCTCCGCCTCTTGCCCCGGAAGTACTTACAGCGGACGGAGGTTTCTGGGCCCGTTTCTGAGCAGCGCTTCCTTTTTGTCCGACATCTTAGCAAGCCTGCGGTGTCTGCTGCTGCTCCCCGAGCTTCGCAATGGTAAGCTTCAGGGGTATGAACTCGCCGGGGTTCTTGGGTTTGAGGACTCAGTGGGGAGAGCCTTCGGCGGGAGCTCTCCTTGGCCTGCCGGCCTTGGTTGCAGGGCGGGCGCGGTTATTGCTTCGCCCATGTGCTCGGTGGTGGAGTTTGCGGGGGCTGAGGGCGCAGTATTAGGGGAGTTTGGGGCTACTTGAGGACCTGGTTGCATTCCCGCTGCCCTCCTACAGCCGCCCAAGGACGACAAGAAGAAGAAGGACGCCGGAAAGTCGGCCAAGAAAGACAAAGACCCAGTGAACAAATCTGGGGGCAAGGCCAAAAAGAAGGTAGGAATAAGATCCCTCTGAGAGAGACTAGGGGTTCCCTCCCGTAGCCTTCTGGTAATAGGTAGCTTGTATAGCAATTGGTTTTTCAGGTATAGATTTCTAGAGTAAAAATGTGAGTTTATCCTCCCATCACCATTCATTCTTTTTCCTAGTTTCCATTAGGATCATGAAAATGAGACCAGTGTGTAAAGTGTCTGCCTCTGTGCCTGTCGTGTGATTTTTAACTGATCTAGTGGGGCTTGGCCCGTGTTCTGAAGCCCAAGCACCTGTCGGGTTTTTTTTTTTTTTTTTTAGTAATGTGTAATTTATCTTTGATGATGATGGAACAGATTTCTCTGACGCAGATTACTCGAGAGGGAAAGGGTGCTTCTGCCAGAAATACTAACTTGTTTCTGTTTTGTTTTGGTGAGCAGAAGTGGTCCAAAGGCAAAGTTCGGGACAAGCTCAATAACTTAGTCTTGTTTGACAAAGCTACCTACGACAAACTCTGTAAGGAAGTTCCCAACTATAAACTTATAACCCCAGCTGTAGTCTCTGAGAGACTGAAGATTCGAGGCTCCCTGGCCAGGGCAGCCCTTCAGGAGCTCCTTAGTAAAGGTGAGGGGTGTATCCTACATGTGTGCTTTTGTAGGGTAAATTGTCTTGACCACGTTAACCATCTTCAGTGATTTTGCTGGAAAAGCAGAATTAAAAAAAAAAAAAAAGGCATAGCTTGACCATTGACTGTTAGTAATGTAATTCTGATGTCTTACTCCTGAGATGAATTCTTAGGGTTCGTAGCCACTTTCGTGCTGTGGACCCTGTGGCAGTTTGGTGAAGCCCAAGGATCTTTTATGTTTCAAGTAAATGGATGCATAGAATTACAGGGACAACAGTTTTTGAAATAATTAGATTACTGTTTTAAAACAGTTTTGAAAATGTTGAAAACCTTTATGGTAAATATTTTGATGTATTAAATTTTAAAACCAGAAATTTAGTATGGTCTACTCAGTAGTATGGTTTGATTACCATAATTCCACAATAATAAGGCTCAGCTAACTATAGTGACTGAACATCTGTAATTCTAGCACTTTGGAAGGCCGAGGCGGGTGAATCACCGGAGGTCAGGAGTTCGAGACCAGCCTGGCCAATATGGTGAAAACCTGTCTTTACTGAAAATCCAAAAATTAGCCGGACGTGGTGGCGCACGCCTATAATCCCAGCTACTCAGGATGCTGAGGCATGAGGATTGCTTGAACCCAGGAGATGGAGGTGGCAGTGAGCCGAGATGGCACTACTGCACTCCAGCTTTGGTGACAGAGCAAGAGACTGTCTCAAAAAAGGGGGCGGGGAGGTGCGGTGGAAGATAATGGGCCCCTAATTTAAAGGAAAAGTAAAGATAGATGATCGTTAAAAACTGTAGGACTCTCTGTTACCAAACGTCAGATTAAGCAGGTGCAGTGATACCCTTGTATTTCTAGCTACTTGGGAGGCCAAGGCAGGAGGATCATTTGAGCCAAGGAGTTTGAGTACATTCTTGGGCACCTTTGAGAGGACCCCCGCCCGGCCTTTTTTTTTTTTTTCTTTTAAATAGAGATGCTGTTTTGCTCTGTTGCCCAGGCTGGTCTCCTGGGCTCAAGAGATCCACCTGTCCAAAGTGCTGGGATTATAGGCATGAGCCACTACACCTGGCCAAAACAAAAACCTTAATAGTATGTTTTTGTTTTTTTGTTTTTTTTGTTTTTTTTAAAGACAGTCTCACTCTGTCGCCCAGGCTGGAGTGCAGAGGGGCAATCTTGGCTCACTGCAACCACCAACTCCTGGGTTCAGGCAGTCCTCACACCTCAGCCTCCCAAGTACCTGGGATTACAAACACGTGCCACCATGCCTCACTAATTTTTGTATCTTCGGTAGAGATGGGGTTTCACCATGTTGGCCAGGCTGGTGTGCAACTCCTTACCTCAAGCTGTCTGCCCGCCTTCACCTCCCAAAGTGGTGGGATTACGAGCATGAGCCACCATGTCCAACCAAAAACCTTACTAGTTTCTATTATAGCATCGATTAAGCATCTCATCCTACTGTCTTCTCTCCCTAGGACTTATCAAACTGGTTTCAAAGCACAGAGCTCAAGTAATTTACACCAGAAATACCAAGGGCGGAGATGCTCCAGCTGCTGGTGAAGATGCATGATAAGGAAGTTCCCAACTATAAACTTACAACCCCAGCTGTGGTCTCTGAGAGACTGAAGATTTGAGGCTATATGGCCAGGGCAGTCCTTCAGGAGCTCCTTAGTAAAGGACTTATCAAACTGGTTTCAAAGCACAGAGCTCAAGTAATTTACACCAGAAATACCAAGGGCGGAGATGCTCCAGCTGCTGGTGAAGATGCATGAATAGGTGAGTAGGAATGCGTGGGCTCATGGAGTAGGAGGTAGATACAAAGCTTCATGGTTCTGATTCTTTTAATTTTTTTTTTTACAGGTCCAACCAATTGTACATTTGGAAAAATAAAACTTTATTAAATCAAATGAATGAGTATGTCTGTTTCCTAAGAAAGACAATGATAAAGAATTCGGTGGAAAGTAGGGGTTTGTTGACTTTGCTTTTAGCCTCATGGTAGTTGGTAAAGCATGATTAGCTTTTTTCTGTATGTGACTGCTTCTTCATTGCTGCAGCTTCAGTTTTGAATTGATGTCTGAAAGGAAATAAAGGGTTAACAGGATGAAGGGTGATATCTCCAAAAAGGAGGTTGGATGGGTAGGTTGGAGACCTGGCACTGAACACATACCTGGACTGCCAGCGTCGTCCATTATTCCAGACTCGGCCAAAAGAGGGCAGCCAGCCTGCACTGGTCCTGGAGCTGTGATCAAAGTTGGCCCCAACTCGGTCTGGGGGGAGTTTTTTCAACTTCTGTTTTTCCTCTGTGCAATGATAAGGAAACAGCTTTTTATTTTTCTTTATTAAAGAATATAGAGATGGGGTTTCACTATGTTTTCCAGACTGTTTTCAAACTTCTGGGCTCAAGTGACCCTCCCACCTCAGCCTCCCAAAGTGCTGGGATTACAGGCGTGAGCCACCGCGCCCGGCCTCGGTTGCGTTTTTCATAACACCAAAATGACGATTTAAGAAAAGGTAGACAAATTACAAGCGCTGCCGTTCAGGAGACGGGGGACTTACGAGTGGAACATGGAGGCCAGCATGAGCTTCTCATTAGAAGTGAGGCGGGGCCGGCCAAATCGAATGGACACCGGGTAATTAGCAGGGTTACCCAGATACTCCAGCACCTCTTTCCCGTCGGCCGTGTACTTGCCGTTCACGTCCATGCCATTGATGGCCAGCACTGCATGGCCCACTGCAGAGGTAAAGCTAACGGTCAGCGAAACTGCAGCCCCGGGATTCCGCCGCGGGGACAAGAGACCCGACACCACCCCCTTTCCCCCAGCCCCGCACCTACAACCAACCCACTTCTGCAGCACTGGG